CCCCCCCCCCCCCCCCCCCCCCCCATTTAGGTAGTTTGCATCATCTCAGGGCAGCAAGGGCGCATGCCACTGACTGGCATGGGCCTGGGTCATTTGATAAACAAATAAGAAACTGAAAATGTGTCTTAGCATCTAATGATTGTGAAGTTCAGAGTCTTTTTGAATGAAAAGTGGTCTTTTGGTGTTCATGTGGAAAAAACAAATCCAAGGCACTCCGAAAACGTGTCTGAAGCCTTTATTCTGCATGGCTAGTCATAATTGCAAGCTTAAAATTACACAGGCAAAAAGGAGATCTAAGGCACTCAAATCAGTTAAAAAGCCTTTATTCTGCTCAGCTGGTTACTTCTGAACTTGCAGTTATGACTACACAAACAGAAATAATGAAACTTTTTAACTGTAGTGCCTTGAATCATTTACTCTTTAACTTGATGTTACAAAATTCTGAAAAGCGCCTGCCTGTATGGAGGATAGAGCAGAACAGAATGGGGTAACAAAGAAAGCAAAGAAACATTCTTATACATGATTACTAACGTGAACAAATCCTTTAAGTGTGTTATAGAGCATTTGTGAACTGTATAAATCTTTCATAGGCAGGTTTAAAATGTTTATAAATAGACCAGAGTTTGACAAGTTACTTAAAAACTGTAATCAAATACTCATTGAAAAGGTTATTACCCTACTTTACTAATTACTAAGCAGTAAAAGCAATGTGTTACCTTTACTTCCTCATTCCAGCTTCATCAAAGACCCCTCTAAACAACTCCACCCACACGTCACATATTTTGTATTTGAAGTAGAGAAATAGAAAACCATTTTGGTTTTACAATTTACATTTTAGAGGGATTTACTGACCATCCAGCAGCTAGCTTAGCCTCAGTGACTGCACACAGCTCTCCAGAAGTCCTGACCTCAGCTGTGGGAGTCACACACTCTCCAACTGTTAACAAAATATAGAAGAAAGCCAGCTACCCAACATGTGAAGAAGACAACTTTGATGCGTTTACATTAAAGTAAACATCTGTTTTCACAGGAAGTTAGGTTTAGGTAAGAAAACCACTTAGTGAGAGTCAGGAAAAGAGCAAAGTTGACGTTCACTTGACTGATTAGCGACTCCTGTGAGTCACAATACTTATGAATGACTAACGGATCACATAACTGACGTGACAACCAGGGGTGAGGTTTCTCATCTTCTGGTGGAGGCTCACCACCCCCTCCTGTCGCTGCACCAAGCTAGGCCAGTGTGTCCACTGACATCAACTATCAATCCTCCATTCAACTTCCTGTAAGACAGCCAACAAGCCAACCTCCAAATGTCAGAGTATAAGCAACGTTACTGGGGTTAGTCAGCAAATTACAAATCTAAGCCCATTCAAATTTCAGGATAATAGCAACATGTAGTGAAACAATAGCACAAGCACTGATCAACTTTTTATTTGAAGCAGGATGAATGTGGTCTTTGTCTTTGAAAAGTTTCATTGTGTTTCTTTACAAATGTCCTTTTATTTTCTGACTACTACCTTTATAGTATGTTTTAACCCACTTATAATTGGTGTCTATCATGCTTTTGAATGATAACTAATGAGGGGGTAAACATAAAGTGTTGAATAGAATATGTGATGAAAATAATGCAAGAAAAATACATGTTAATCAATACAATAATACAACACGATAAAAACAGGATGTAGTTATAACACCAAATGCAGCCTCATACAGGATGCATCCTCAATCATGTTTATTGCAGGAACAGAAATGGATCTAAAACATTAATGGAACATCGTCCCACTCGGTCACAAACCACAGCACACAGATGTAGAGGACTCAGGCTAAAACATTCTCTTCTTTTTATGCATTTTGGCTGCTTATACACCAGCAGGCTATGTATGTATTTGGAGATACAGTAACATGAATCATGAAACGTGGCCACCGTGTGCTCTTATTTCATCCTCTCTGATCCTGGTCCATATGTCTCAGAGCACATCTATATGTATCTCATGGTGAAATCCCAGAGAACACTTCAGTAGTAAGGAGTTTAAATTTTTTATCACAACGACTATGGATGTCATCGTAAAACGTGGTTACCAAGCAACTGCTTCTCAGCCTCCCAATCAGCGGTGTTGTTGGTTTGAGATTCAGACAATCATCACACTCTCTTTTCCTCCTCTGCATGTTACTCAGTGTTATAAACCTTTTTTGAATGGATTAATTTAGTATTAAAAGAAAAGATGCTTTTCAATCAAAACGTCTTTCAACTAAGGCTCCTTAAGGACTCATTTATTTTCTAATTCAGTCTATCAACTTCAGCCAGATGTGCTGAAGGTGTATCAGCCTTTCAGGAGATACTGTAAGTTTTATAGGGAAGGCTTAGAATTTAAATTAGGATCTTTTGGTACCCTAAACCGCTGCCAGTCACACCAGTGGTGATAGTGAAAAAAGATGCTTATGCAAAGCATTTTCCCCCTACTGTTCCTGTCAGGGAGCTTTTGAAATCCATTTTCTAATGAGAACTGACATTCCACCTTCGTTCAGTATTTCCTCCAGAGGGGAAACAGGGAGGGTTAGCGACTGAAGGATGACAGCAGTGAAAGTGCCACAGTCAGGAAAAGTCCTCTGCTCTCAGCTTATAGAAAAGTCGTACTTGGGTTTGAGATTTCTCTGTTTTATCGACAATGTCATATGATTGCAAGGCGGCGGTCAGCTGTGCGACCTCCATCTGCAGTAGCGATATCTGATCTGGCACCGCTGGCTATTCCTGCAAAGCTTTGACAGGCGGTGCTGATGGAGGTGGATTCAAGCAACTTTTAAATGCCAAGTAATAATAATTTTCTTTTGTTTTCAATTGTACAACAGCTCAATAAGAATCATTTTCCCCATATATTTTTAATATAAATGTAAGTAATACTATTTTAAGGATTAGACTACATTTACTCCATTTTTTTACTATTCTAAGCATATACCACGAAAAAAAATAATGTTTTTCTATTTCACAATCTTTCTTTGGCACTCATCCCCAATCCCACTGGTTCCTCTGGGAATGAGGATTTTTAAAAGAGGCGCACAAATATAAAGTTTCAAACTGTAATTTCCTAAAACAGCTGGACACTGTAGCAAACAACCAGGAGGATATAGTGCATTTGTTTGGGGACTATTTTCAGCAGCGGATTAATCCACATTCGGTGCTCTAGTCAGTATTCGTAGCAGCGGGACAGTGTATGTGGGATACAGTGTTCCTGGTAATGAAAGAACATGTCACCCAGTGCAACAATGTGGCTCACTGATGTGTTGTTAATAGTCTGTGGACATCAATGGAGCTCTATGTCACAAATATGTCAGGCTTCCATACACACTATAAAAGACACATTCTTTGGTGTTTTTGTGCTTTTCATGGAATTTATTGACAATGACGAAAATAAAGAATACAACCAGGTTTTTTTCTTTTAACATGACATGTAAGCCTGAACAGGAATATTATAGAATATAGAATGGTTGCAATACTGTGTTGTGATTGGTCGACACCAGGTCACTACCCTTAAGGCTAAATAACCTGATTTTCAAGATTGTGGTGAGTCCGCACTTATTCATCATGGACAGTTGGCACATAGCAGCTTTAATGAGTGTGTTCTCACCTCCTGACCTGCTGAGTGCTGGCTCTCCAGTTCAAATGCAAACTGCCTCACCGCAAAGATGTTTAGTAACTGTTTGAGGGGAGCACGACGCAAAGATCATGTCCTCAGTACTGATTTGAAATCCAGCAGAGTGGTGATCAGTTGCATGTATAAACTTGGCAGCTGAAATCACTCCAAATTGAGCAGGGAAACATGTTTGCTTTTTAGTCAAGTAATCCTTTGATGTGCTCATGTTAAAGCCACAACTTTGGTACTACTGCTTTGGTCTTCCCATCTGGTGACAGGTGTGTTCATTGGTTTATTTGGAAAGACCTACACATAAATATACATGGTTTCATTGGTGGTCTTGGATATAAATGGCCACAGAAGGAGAATAACAGGCATGTGTAACAAGGACAGAACTGTGTGTAGGAGTGTGGTATACAGCTCTGGCTCATTTCAGGGTAGCAGTGTTGAACATATCAGTTCTCCATAATCCCCACAGGTGCCATGGCTTGGCTACAGACCAATATGAACGACTTTATCTGAAATAATGAGTGTATTAACGTCGAGGGCACAGCCAATTACTGTTTCATCCTGAAAACCATGCTGGTTTATGGGCATGTAGCCACAACATGATAACAGCCAGCTGTACAAAAGGTTGAGCTGCTGTGAATGCAAATAAACATGCGAGTGTTAAGACGCTCAGAGAGGGGAGATGGACGCCGGAGACAGCTTGCAATCCTGATCCTGTCCGTGCAGTCATTTGATTTAGAAGTGTTAGTGCCAATAACCAGGCTTGCTTTCTTGCTTGGAGGAGCAGAAGGAAAGAAGGGGGAGAAATTTACCGATACTTGACTGAGTTCTGACGCCAGCACTGACATGATGTAAGAGACGGGGGGAGGGAGAAAGCGAGAAGGAGGAGAGAGAGAGAGAGGGAGAGAGAGCAGGGAGGGGAGTTGGGGGGCGTTCACAGCTCTGATATTCTCCTCACTTTCGGAGACCCAGACAGAGAGCAACTCCCCAGCGGGTATCCTAACTGAGGTAGGCTGGCTTTTCTTACTCCCACTCTTTGAATAAATCAAGAAAAATTAAACAGTCCATTTGAATTTGATTTGGAAACATTCACGGAATTTTTCCTGTATCTACATTCAGTTGAGTGCTGCGATGTTACTGTGTGATGCTTAACATAAAGATAAAATACAGCATTAATTTGGAAGATATTACTATTGTGTGGGTGGGTGGTCCAAATAATGCGTCGTGCAAACTGCAGGAATGTCTTCAAACGTGATGTTTCAAGGCTAAAATCTGTTAAGGTATTTGGACGTGTAGAAGCCTACTAATGACTAAATGACGTGGCTCTGACGTGAGGATAATAGCTAATGAGCCGTTTGCCTTATTTGTTTCTCCAGCCTAACTTTGACTTGAGCATAACTGACTGGGACTCAGCACCTCGGAGAGCGACGCACCGCGGCTCTCACACACCGCTCAGCCGAGGGAGAGAGCGCGCAGAGCCCGGGCACCCATCAGCTCTCCTCCCTGTCAGGACATGGTGCCCTCCTGCCACGGCTCCTCGGTGGGTCACAATGGGCTTTAGTTTGTCCACTACATAATACCAGCCGAGAAATGCCCTTTGACAACAGTCTACACAGAGTTGTACTCAGCATGACGGCGGCACAGGAGACTGAGCGAGTAAGGGAAGACTCGGTGGAGAAACTTGCACAAGACTAAAGCCTTGCATGTTTGACCAGAGTTGAAGTGTCTTTGCCAAAACGTAAGACTTGAGTTCTTCACACCACCATGGGGATAAGGCACATTTTGTTGCTGCTGATATACTTGGACCCGCTATGCGTGCTGAGCGCCGCTACAGGCGGCAAAAAGCCCAAACCGGCGCCTAGGAAGGCTCCCAAAGCCACGGCGGTCCCCACGGTCGTCCCGCAGAAGACCCCGCAGCCCGCGCCCACCAGCAACCACGACACATGCCAGGGCTACTACGACGTGAGCGGGCAGTATGACAAACTGTTCGAGTGCAACAACACGAACCATCGGTACTGCTGCGGGACGTGCTACCTGCGCTTCTGCTGCGAGTACAAGAAAGATCGGCTGGACCAGAAAGCCTGTACGAATTACCACAAGCCAGTGTGGGTGCAGACGGCCGCCCCGTCGCCCATCCCGACCGGTGAAACGTACGATCTGAGCATGGATCAGACCAGCACGGCGGTCTATATCACCTGTGGGATCATAGCCTTCATCATAGTGCTGGGAGTGTCGGTCAAAGTTGCGTACGACAAAGCTACAGAGCCGCCTCAGGAAATGAACATACATAGGTGAGTGGGTAGAAGACATGTTGTGTGAGAATGACTTCTGAATCATGCAATGAATTTGCAGCACAAATATGTATTCAATCACTTCTTTAAAATGTAAGATAGAAGAAGATATAAAGTCCCATAGCCTACTAAGAGGTCATCATTTCTGAATGTAGAGACTATGACAGACTATGAAACAGATAGACCTCTGAGCAGACAGGATTCAAAGGTTAACCCTCATGTGTGTGTGTGTGTGCATCTGTTATGTGTTGGAGTGAGAAGGACTGATGCCCAACATTTATACTGGAGCTTTGTTAGTTAATAAGACACAATCTTTCTTTTTATAAAAATTGCGTCTCACATTGTTAGAATCAGCCCAGATATTTGGCTCATGAGGCGAACACAAGTCAAGGCAGCTAGCTGTCAAACATTGTACTTCGCGACCTACTCCCAGTCCTCCTCCCCCAATCCCACTCTCTTCACATCAGCACATGGCTTTCTGCTTTGTTCAGGTGGAAATTTGACAAGATTCTTTAGCAGAGATGGGATAACGTGGCAAATGATTGAATCTCTCCTCCTCTGCTGGCTCCTTTTTCCTCCTGGGGCTTCACCATATGAGAATTATCACACAAGAGTGGATCACATGTTGTAGACTGTACCAACATCAGTGAACAAATGCTGACACATTATTTCTTCAAGATTGAATAGCTTTTTTTATTGGATGCATTATTCAACACTTGAGCAATCTTAAGATTGTGAATAATGGATAGTGTTAACGTTGGCTGTATCAAGGTCGTGTGACAAACATGCACCACTGCACATTCAATAAGGAACAGGAAGGAGGGGGTGAAGCTAAAATATTAATTTCAAAGCAAAGGTTACAGTCTGCGATACATTTGTCGTACAAAAGCTTTGAGCTGCTGCAGCGGTGCAAAAGTAATTTGATTTCCTTTTTCAAAAGCAATGCCAGAAAAAGCAAACAAACACTTTTTGAACTTTCTTTCACCATGATTGCTTCTCCCTCTCTTCCACTCCCCTCCCCTCAAGGGCTCCATCCTTCCATATGCACCTGGTGCGGTCTGAAAAACATTCAAATTCAACCCAATTAGACAAGATACTCACACATCCAATGTTGTTTCTCTTGCAAATGAACATTCATCATGTTCCCAGACGTGAAAATAAAAGAAGAAACAGAGCAGCCCTGAATTACTCATAATAGCACAACACTGTCTTAACAATTAGCAGCCATTCGGCGTGCAGACAACAGACGGGATATCACTTCATTTTTAACTGAGTTCAGCTGCACTAAGAGAGAAAAACTGTACAACAAAAGAAACATGGTGCAGTATTCACAGCCACTCTTGTGTTTTCGGTTTCCAGAGCCCTTGCAGACATCCTGAGGCAGCAGGGGCCCATCCCCATATCGCAATATGACTGTGAGAATTTTGCAGTGATGAACGGCTCACCCAAAGACAACACACCAGTCAGAACCTCATCCAAGAACCACTACACCCCTGTTCACACCTCCAAGTCTAACCACGGTAAGAGTTCTCCTCTCTCCACCCACAAGCATTCACTAGTTCATGTGTCATGACTGTTGGTCCTACCCACATCACTCTCAGTGTGTCGCATTTGCGATACATTGATTATTTCTGAGCAAAATTGTGCATTCCCCTCCGAAGAGCCCCCACTGTGCTCAACCTTTCAGAATGTGTAATCTCCAATGTTAACATCCAGTAATCATCCGATTTGAACAAGAGAGTGCGAGGGAGAGAGCGACAGAGAGAAACAGGGGCCTGCTGGAGATAATTACAGGCTGGCAAAGTAGCGCGGCCCTGCAGTCTCTGACAGGCTGGAAGTGATGGCCTCTCAGTCGCTCAGTGGGTGAATCAGGGTGCGTGATTTAACCCCACAATTCAGAGAAGAGGCAGGGAGCATAAATCGGTAGAAATTACTGAAAACTGTGCAGGAAAAATAGGCGTCCAGGGGAAGTCAGTCAGGGCTGGCAGGTTCCTCAACAAAGCAGGTGTTATCAGATGGAAGGAGGCAGACACACTCTAAAATAATGAGATATTAGAAGCACAATTTAATCGGTGTGATAGAAAGACAAACAGGCTAACTAAATAAATAATCCAATGGTAAAACTTTAGGTGTTGATTTTGCAGCCGTTAAAGTGCCAATACTATATGTGTGTAGTGAGCCCTACTTAGTTGGCACTCCGGTGACACCTAGAAGGGCCTCTGAACCCTGATTAGTGGGTCTCTTCACTCTCATGACTCTAAAAAGACCAAAACCACCTGATCTGGTTCCGTCCTCCCATGTAGACCATAAAATGTATCTTTGTCAGTAGACATCATACATTGTAATACATCTCCATCATTGAGCATGCTATTCATCAGCCTATAATTGATGTAATTGAACATCATTGCCAAATGGAAACCGTTAAGAAATATATATATAACATAAACGATGTCTTTCAACCAACATTCCTGCTCCTGTAGAGATCCATACACATACTTGAGTCCAATTAGTGATCTTAATGTAAGATGTGAAATAGTTGCATTTATCTTTCTGGCGGTGTGCCACATTTGGGAATAAGGGGCTATCCCCCCCCCATAAAATGTAACATTATATCCACTTCAGCTCCTTATTTGATTAATCAGACGTGTACATATTTAGATATTTTAAAAGGCTTTACTGGTTATATCTGAACTGCAGCCAGTTCTGGAACCCAAACATCACAGCGCCTGATACAGTACATGCAGTTGTTACAGTTGATTGGAGCTACAGGATAACAAAAATATTTTTCTTCTCTAAATAATAGAATTGTGCGTACTTTCAGCTCTGTTCGGGTCAGCAGACTCCTGTGTGTGTCATGTAAAGTTGGCCTCTTTCTGCCACATCGCCGTCCATCATATACTTGCTGGGAACATTTTCCTACAGCTCAGTGTTGGTTGCGACCACATTCTACCTTCATTCACTTAGTGTCCCCCCAACTCATTTGTTGCATCAGACGATTCCTACTGGTCACTAGCCGGCCATGCAGGGGACACGGCTTCTACGCAGCTGCACGTGGCAGGCTGCCTTCACAACGACCTTGCAGGCATTTCTATTCATTAAAGTACGAGCATCACTTTATCTGTCGATCTGTCTCGGCTGAGACTACTTTGCCTGTGTGCACACAATCATTCATTGCAACAAGAACAGAACTCAGGCCGGCTCACTTCAGTGTACCACAGCCAAGCCCCCCTTCATCAGGGGACCAGTCCTGATAGGGTTGGACATGAAAGGCAGTGACAGCACAGGCCAAAGCATGGTTAACGTGTGTGTATAAATTGGGAGCTCCGCTCGATGCCTTAACAGGCTCCAATGTGCTGTGGAGAGGGAGCGCACACGCTCTCATGGAACATGCATATTCATCTGCGCCTAAATGGGCATTTGTCACAGAGTAAGAAGGCAGGCCTCTTAAGGAGAGGGTCCTCGGCTGGAGTCATCACTGCTAAGAATGTTACTTCACATCTTGAGGCTTTTTCCAAACACTTTTAAATCAGGTGGAGAGACCACATAAAGCAAGTGGCTAAAGGGCCCAAGAGGATCCTATCAACTTATGTCAAGAGTGGGAATAACATCCATTTCTCCTTTAATCCTCAACATGCAATGATGCCCACTTGCTCTCAGCAGTAATCACTTCCTTACCAAAGTCATTTATTTCATGCTTTGTTTTGGCTCAATTCAAAAAATACATGCTAATTATTTTTTTTCTCCCATTGCAGGCCTTGTGTAGTGACATGGTACCCTTGGTGCATTGCAAAACGTCCCTGCATTTTTAGAACAACATATTCCTTTTTAAAAAAACAGAGCCTAAAGGCAAACAGTACAGACAGCATAATATGATACCAGCGCAAATGCTGCTATTTTTATTCCCAACCGCTCTGCATTGTTGTGGGCTCAGATCCTGTTTTAGGTCGGGGTGTAAACACAGAGCGCCCCACGGCCACAACAAGGAGAAGACCTTGAAAGGGAGGAGTAGATACCTTTACAGGAGTTCGCCTTCGGTTAAAGCAAACAATAACCGCTTCTCTGAGTAATGCAGTTTGCCCCACAGCTCTCTTCAGATGAAGTTGATTTATTTACTGCACACCACAAGCATAGATTTGCCTTTTTATTTTTAAAAAGTGTTGCTTGGTTTCCTCTTAATGCACAGAATGATGAAATATAGCTTTCAGGTGGTGAAGAGAGTAGCTGTATTTTCTTTGTCTCAGTTTACTCAACAGAAAGCAAAGAAAAACAATTACTCCCATACAGCACTTCTGCAAAAAAAAAAGAATTATATTACTAGTTATGGGTCTGTGTTTACTGTACCAGAAAAATGAGAGCAGGCAGAATAAGAAGAGTGACGATGTTACAGTGTGTGCTCAGACAGAGCCAGTATCTGAGCTCCAATACAGCACTTGAGGGATCTGGTTTGAGATGAGTGGCCTCTGTGCTTAAAGGTCAGCTGCTGTGGACAATTAGAGGTTGTGATGATAGAATAACATTTCCAGCTATGTAGCAGCTTTGACATGACCTTCAGATATTTTAAAGCATGAATCTTTGTATGTGTGTGTGTGTGTGTGTGTGTGTGTGTGTGTGTGTGTGTGTGTGTG